TAATGTTAACTGTTGGTTTTTGTAATAGTCTTAGTATGGTTAACATTTAATATTTTTTTTCGTTAATAAATTTCAAGTTTGCATGTGACTTTATTATACAGAGTCACAGGATTTAAATTTTTTTTTTTTTTATTTGACCTCCCCCCCTCCCCTAAACTTTCATAAACAGTGTAATGTAAAACAGATAATTAATTTGATTCAGCTTAAACTCAAATGATAAACTTAAAAGTAAGTTAGTATAAGATAAGCTTTACAATAAGCTGAGCCGCTTATAAGCCAAATGAGTCAGCTTATTTAGACTCAGCTTAAGCTATTATAAAATGAGCTATAAGTCAGACAAACTGGCTTATACTGTAGCTTGACTTATGTCACAATTTAGCTTGTTAGCTTGTATTTATAATAAATAAATCTAAAGGAGATTTTCTTTAAAGGAAAGATGCTCTAATAATATTTACTTAAAGAAAAACAGTCTTAATGATGTTTTCTTTAAAGAAAAACAAATCTGGTGATATTTACTTTAAAGAAAAATGAATCCAGTGATATTTACTTTAAAGAAAAATGAATCCAGTGATATTTTCTTTAAAGAAAAATGCATCCAGTGGTGTTTTCTTAAAGAAAATACACCTGAAGCTGAATTTCTTTAAAGAAATTTACTTCTGAAGTGATTTTTATAAAGAATTTTGATTTTGAATGCGATTCTTTCAAAGGAAAAGCTATAAAGATGATTCTTTTCAAGAAAATTTTTCTGAAAGCGAAATCCTTTAAGAAAATCATTTTGAAGAAGAAATTTTTCAAAAAAAACATTCTAGAAATGAAATTCTTCAAAGAAATCATTCTAAAAATAAAATCCTTCAAGAAAAATATTCTAAAAATGAAATCCTTTAAGAAAAATATTTTGAAAATGAAATCCTTTAAGGAAATCATTCTGAAAATAAAATTTTTCAAGAAAATCACTCTAAAAACATTTCTCTCAAAGGAAATCGTTCTAAAAATGTTTTTAAATGAGCCAGCTTATAAGCCAGCATGGCTTAGTTTGACTTATCAATTGATCTTCTAAGCTAAGCTAAGCTGAGCTAAAAAAAATTAGCTCAGCTTGAACCAATGGCAAGCTAAGCTAAACTGATTTATGCAGAGCTTTAGTATAAGATATTATAACAAATCTTAAATAAAGATAATATTAAGAAAAAATAATTTATGTAAATCTATGATTTTTTATTAATAATTGAAACTTATATGATGCTAAAAGTCTTAACTCAATAATATTTCAAAATTTTTTATGGATTTTATATCATGTAATTAGTAATTGACTAATGAAAAATCATTTTTTTGTGTTTTATTTTAAATTATAATACTTTAGATTAATATTATTATTAATTACTATAATATTAGCTCAAATTATCATAAATTTCAATCAATAATATATGTTTCAAATTCAGAATGATTATATGAAAATTATCCAATTTTAAATATTTATAATTTTATATATAGAATTTATTTAAAAATTGACTAATAATTTAATAGAGTTTATCTTAAAGAATAAAATTACCAGTTTATTTTTTTCTAAATTTTATTTTTTTAAAGAGTTAAAAGATTTATAAGTATTATATTTATATTGTTAAATATAGACTTTTTACATCATATTAAACTTACAAATGAGTTAATTTACAACTTAAACAAAAAATTATTCTATTTATATAAAATAATTTGCTATAATTAACTATTTACTATATTATAAACTAACTATATTTATAAACTTTAACTATAATATAATAGTAAAATAAATAAAATATAGATATAAAATATAAGAAAAATAATAAAAATAACTTAGATATTTAAAAATGAAAAATTATTTATAATTATAAATATAATAAATTTTATAGTATCAAAAGAATTAGATAAATCATATAAATTCTTATTAATATAATGAGATATAATAAATTCATTAAAAAAAAGTATAATAATAATATTAAAATTTAAAAGAAATTACAAGACAACTTTTTTATAATATTTATTAATAAGATTTTTAATATAAAATTGTAAATAAACTTAAATTTTTCATTAAATTTATTTTTTTAAAAGGAGTATGAGTAGTTTTATAAAATATAAATAATTAAAATAATAAAATATATTTACAAAATAAAATATTATATATATATATATAAATAATAATCAAAAAATAAGATTATTTAAAATAAATATAAATGTAATATATAATTAATATTCAAATTATTAAATTAATTACAATTCTTAAATAAAGAATATTAAAACTAACTAGTATAAATATCTAGAATAATAGCAACTATAATAAAAATAGATATTATTATAATTTCAATATTTTTATCTATTATAAATAAAAAAAATTAATAGCAACTACATATAAAGAAAATTTTTAAAAAATGCTAAATATACATATATGTTTAATATTCTAATTTTTGTTAAATATTAAATTTGAATTCATTAAAACCTTTTTTTAAAAGTTAATCTATAGTGATTTTTTTTGATAATATTCATAATATAATAAAAAAAGAAGATTTTTATCTTTATAACAATTTATTGATTTGATAAATTTTTTATTATAAAGAAATTAAAAATAAAATTTAAGTAATTTAAAATAATATTAAGAATAAATAATAATTGTTTGCTAATTATTCTTTTTAAATAAAATAAATATATAAATTTAATAATATATAAAATTATATTTTATATTTTATAACTATTAACTATTTTACTTTTTTTAAAAAAATGAAGATTAATAAAATCTGTGATATTATCATATAATAAGAAGAAACAATATCTTTTATTATATTGATGAAAATAAATTCATAAAAATCAGATTTAATAGCCTAATATTTATAGTTAAAAGATTAAATTTTATCAATTTTATCAATTTTTTTTATAAAAATAATTGTTATTTAAGATGAATAATAATTATATTTATGATATTTTTGATAATTAGTTTAATAATGACTTTGACCTTTAAAGATCATGTCAGATTAACCTTTTTTTGATATTTTAAGTAATAAGTTAATTTCAATAGCTTTTTATATTTTTTACTATTCTTTTTATTTTTGTTAATATTTACATAATATGTATTGATTAGCTAATATTATTAGATAAATAAAAAATAAATAAATGATTCTGAACAAACTTTACTAATTGTTTTTTTTTACTAGCAAAAATATTTTTAACAAAGTTTAGTTTCATCATTAGAAAAGCTATCTTTTAAGAGAATTAAGAGTTTTATCAATAAGTTTAAGAATATATTTGATGAGTTTATATATGAATCAACATAATCAATCTCTATAAGAAATTACAACTTTTATGACCATTCTATAACTTATTTGTTTAGTATAATTTATAAGCTGGGTTTTTTAAAGTTGATACTACTTCTAATATCTAAGATAAATTTTATTGAGAATACTATTATTACCTTTTAAGATTTTCCTTCTATTTTGCATTTAAAATTTTAGTAAATATAACTCTTTTATATAATAAAAAAGGTAAAGGAAAGGTAGAGGTAGTGGTAGTAGTAGTGATAGTAGTTGTTATTGCATTATTGAATAAGGATTAGAAGCATAACTGTCTGATATAAGTATTTGACCTTCATACGTGATAAGAGAGTAATTCAACATTTATGAAAATGATAATATTAATCATTAATCAGATGAAGGAAGAAGACCTAAACCTGTAACTAAGTGGATAATGACTTTGCTAACTAGGATTTAGAATTAATGGAATTGTAAAGGGTATTGACTTGAAGTTTGTTTTACAAATGGTGTAAAGATGATTTCACATCAAGTGAATAATTCCATTGAAAGGTTCCATGCTCATGTCTTGCATATGAAATAAAAGTTATTTCTTTTTTAGGCTTGGTAATTTTTTTTGTTTTTACCATAACAATTATGATTTATTATCACTAAACTACTTGATTTCATAATATATTTATTATTTCTTATATATCAACATAAACATATGGTTGCGTGTTGAAAACAAATTCAGAAATAAATCCAGGAGGTAAAGGTCTAGGGTCCATTTCTCAAATTAGCAAAAAAGAGAAAAATAAGTTTTTTAATGATTTATCATCCAAGAAAAGCGCAATCAAACAAGGTTTCAAGGGGATGATTGTATCACTGCATAAATCATCACCCCGAAGTTTTTTAATCTGATTATAAATACCATTAATGTAAATAATAAAATTATACTTAATTTTTGACAATCATCTTAATCCTAAATAGTAAAGCAAAGCACGAACTTTAAAAACAACGCACACTCATTTTTCCAATTCTGATTTATAATATATTAGGTACTACATGAAATGACACGAGTAGAATAGTTGAATTCAAAAATCCGCAGTATCCAAGAAAAAGGTGGAAAAATTTGGAAAGCCTTAATAGTTGCGGGAGAAAGATAAAACTTACAATATATTACCGTAACAATGCACGGACGCATAATATTATTAAAATATAAAGTGGGCGCGATGTGATATATTTTATTCCGTGTTTTAAGACAATTCCCGAAATTAATCTTAAAACTTTATTCGTTTGACAATTTCGCGATTCTTTTTATTGAATTATAAAATTCCACAAAATTGGATCGTTAAATAATGCATAAAATCAAGCCAGAATAGTATATCAATTACCGAAAATGGATTATGTAACTTAGCGCATTTAAAAAACGTTGCCAATAAAATAAAGTTAAATCATATGATCCGTAATGTGATTTTACGAGCAACGTTCCATTTAATAGATTGCTTGGACCCTTATTAATAAACCCTGATATTAAATAGAACGCCAAGGCTGATTTCTCGTTTAGAGTAACTTTTAATAAATAAATAAAAAAGATATCTCGCGTTCCAGGCAACAACCAATAATAATCCAAATTTCATCAGAAACAATGGCGGTTATCATAATATTAATTTGATTAAAAGCTATAAATTGTGTGAATTGGATGAACCTTACCTTATAAGCGAATTTTACAGAAAAAAAAACATACATTATAATATGGGTAAAGTATATTCAAAAATACGAAGAAGAGAGTTAGTAAATTGTTCAAGCAACGAAATCGATGATGTTTCGTTGTCAACTTCAACCAGATATTTTGGTGACCTAAAACATAAAAATAAAGATGGTTTAGGATCAATAAGTGAACTTGATAGAGTAAATTTACAGCATTTCTTATTAAAAGAATTAAATGGTTTTAATTTTAAATCACCAGTAGATTTAAATAATCCCCAAGTCAGTGTTTTAGATGTTGGGTAAGTTCATAAAATTTAAAAAAAAAAAAACTTTTTACAAACGTTGAAACATTTAAAAAAATTTTTTTCTTGTACAGATGCGGTGCAGGAACTTGGATTCTTGACTTGGCAAGCGAGAATCCAGCAAACTTCTACGGAATTGATATTTTACCACTTTTTCCAACAGAAATCAAACCCTCAAATGTTTCATTCTCTATTGCGAATTTAATTGATGGATTACCTTTTAAAGATAATTCGTTTGACTTTGTTCATATGCGATTTTTTGTATTTTGTTTGTCAGAATCAGACTGGGAAATAGCAATTCAAGAAATAGTTCGCGTTTGTAAACCAAATGGATGGATCGAAATATTTGAAGTCGACATTACGTTCGCAAATGCTCTTAAAGATAAGACAGGACTCAATAATAAAGGTTAGCAACTTTGATTTCATAATTGCAAAAAAAAAAAAAAAAAGATCTTGATTAATTTATTTATTTTAATTTAAAGCAAAAGAAATTTTATCCGAAAAATATAATATAAATTTGTGTCCGAGTCCCTTAATAAGATCTTTATTAGAAACTAATAATTCGCTAAATAAAATTTATTTCGAACCAAATAAATGTAAACTTGGTAGTTGGGGTGGTAAATTGGGAAAATTAAGTTTAGAAAATTATAAATGGGGTATGAAAAATTTTGCTATGTCACTTAATTACATGGGATTGACAGAGCAAGAATTTTTTCAATTGGTTGAAGAAATAACTCAAGAAATCGAAGAAACCAAAGGTGTTTATGACGTATTTAATAGATTTTGGGCAAAGAAATTGTAATAATAATTAATTTAATAATATTCGTTGGTAAATAAAAATATATAATAATTACAAGAATTTCAGGAGTCGATCGTTATTAATGTTCATTGTTGTTTGTTTCTGATCGGATGGAGTTGGAAATGAGGTGCATTTCATTCGAATAATGATGATCATTAGTAATTTTTTAATGTTATTTATGTTATTTCCAAATTAATATTCTTATGCCAAGTCAGTTCTAAAAAAAATAATGCCTTTTATGCACTCGCTTCAATTTCAATGTCAATTCAACACTTCCAACTGCGTGATCAGTAGTTTATAAATTGTATAAATTGATAAGGATTTGATTACGTGCCGTATTTGTCGTAATTAATGATGTCAGGAGATCAGATGATCTCTGGACCTTTTCATAATCGTGGTGTTAACGTATTTGAGAATTGAGAATTGCATGTCTAAGGAAACCTGGTATGGAAAAAAAAAAAACATTGCTCCCATTAAGGCTTTAATAATATTTTCGATTAGATCTGCGGGTTGTTTTAAAAGAATTTGTGAGTTTTGTTAAAATAATTTGTTTTTGCATAACTTTTTTGTTCATCGTCATTTTCAATTATCAAGTCATTAGAATAAGTTTTCATCCATTTGATCAAATCAATTACGATACGATTATCACGCAGTAGAGGCCTGGACTTTAAGCAAAGTATTAGAAATTTAATTTTCAATAATATTTTTTTTTTTTTTTCACTTTCACAAATACCAAAAATAGTAATTAATTAATGTAACACAACAATATATATGCTATTAAAATCACGTCACGTAACTCGATTTTAATAGCAAACTTCCCATATTTTCATTATAAAATACAATCAGCGGTTCAATAACTTATGGAATTATAAAAAATCCGGACTGGTACTTTGAACCCCGGCCCGGGAAATTCTAAACTAATAATTTGCCGGCCCGTTGCAGCACTAATGCGCGGTAAATCCCAATATCGAAATAAATCAACATTCAAAAATCTAGGTGACATCAAATCATTCTTGCGATTAAGATTCCAAACTTTTAAATCTCTATTCATAGTCAAGCATCTAATCACAATTTTTTGACTCCTTCATTTGGTGGATATGAATTTTTATTCTTGAATGCAGGAACAGAATATATTTTTTTTGTATTTCATCTTTTCTTATTTTGACTCTACATATTTTGCTGTTTAGGGAATATCTAGACTGACTTGAAATAAATTTCCGAAAAGAAGATGGAATTAGATTTCGACGTGTAAAATACTGATAAGAATATCGAAGGACGTAAACTAACATGCTAGTTGCCATCGTGATGTCATCTTCTTACACACCCCTTAATAATTTTTTTAGAGCTTCTTTAATTTATATAAAATAAATAATGATCAGAGTGAAAAAGTTTCCCTCAAAAGAATTTAGACTTTAGATTAGGAAATGACTGTTTGGCGTGAGAATTTCCATCCTCGAATCCTCGAATGATATTCATGTTGCTTATAGTTTCGGAAGCAAAACTCATTTTAGTAAATGAAACCTTGTATGTTATTTATTGTTTCGATTATTATAGTTTTGACGGTTCGAACCTTAAATATTCATTTGGAAAATAATTTATTTTGAGGAAATAATTAATGTTGCAAGTTCAAATCAATCTATTTTCAATTTTACGATATGATTAATATTATCAGTTTCAGATGATTGCTAGGAAAATCTGGTTCTGGGAATTTTTGATCAAACAAAGAATTTTAGCTTTTTGATATTGTTAGGGCAGTGACAGATATTACCTAATATCTTAGGGGGTGGGGGGTTAATGAAGATCTTAGGTTACACATAATAAGCTAATCACGTGATAATAAGGTTCCTTAACCTGTACCCTGGGTGTAGGCCTTTATCCTAGACCCCCCTTTTTCTCAAATATGATTGGTTTAAATCAATCTTCATCAGCCACATATT